TGATGCAGGATGCGTACAATACTAGACATTAAATAGTACTACAGAGCTATAGTAACAAACATGGCATGGTATTGACACAAAAATAGATATGAAGACCAATGGAACACAATAGACACAGAAACATACCCCCATTAATACAGCTATCTCAGACAAAGGCGCCAAAAACATACATTGGAGAAAATATAACCTCTCCAACAAATGGTGCTGGGAAAACTGGAAATCCATATGTAGTAGAATAAAAGTAGATCTCTCACCCTGCACAAAACTCAAAGTGGATCAAGGACCTAGACATTACACAAGAGACCCTGTGCCTATTAGAAGAAAAAATAGGCCCAACTCTCCGTGTCAGCTTAAGAACCAACTTCCTCAACGAGACTCCTGAAGTACAAGAAGTAAAGTCAAGAATCAATAAATGGGATGATGTCAAACTAATAAGCTTCTTTGCAGCAAAGGAAACAAGAACATGAAGAGAAAGCCTACTGAATGGGAGAAATTTTACCACCTGTACCTCAGGTAGAGCATTAATCTCCAGGATATATAAATAACTCAAAAAATTTAACATACACACAAAATAATAATAATCCAATCAATAAGTGGGCTAAGAAACTGAAGAGGAAGTTCACAGAAGAAGAAATATGAAGACACTAGTATGGCAATATGTAAATCAATGGATGTGTAACTGATGTAATTCTGCAATCTGTATATGGGGTAAAAATGGGAGCTCATAACCCACTTGAATCAAAGTGTGAAATATGATATATCAATAACTATGTAATGTTTTGAACAGCCAACAATAAAAAATTAAAAAAAAAGAAGAAGAAATATGAATAGTCAAAAAATATATGAAAACATGTTCAATATCTCTAGCAATTAGAGAAATGCAAATTAAAACTACTCTGAGATTTCTTCTCACTCCAATCAGTATGACAATATTTTTTTCAGAATGGCAATTATCAAGAATAAAAGTAACAATAAATGTTGGTGAGGATGTGGAGGGAAAGGTTCACTCATATGTTACTAGTAGGACTGCAAATTGGTGAAACCATTCTGGAAAGCAGTATGGAGATTTCTCAGAAAATTTGGAATGGAACCACCATTTGACCCAATTATACCATGCCTTGGCATATACCCAAAGGACTTTAAATCAGTATACTATAGTGATGTGCCCTCATCAATATTCATAGCAGTTCAATTCACAATAGCTAAACTATGGAACCAGCTAAGTGCCTTTCAGTAGATAAATGGAGTAAGAAACAGTGGTACACGTATACAATGGAATATATTCATAAAGAAGAAATTATGGCATTTGCCAGCAACTAGATGAAATTGGAGACTGCATGCTAATTGAAATAAACAATCCCAAAGAACCAAAGGCTGGATGTTCTGTCTGATATTTGGATGCTAACACACAATAAGGCAGGGAAGAATAGGAGTTCTTTGGATTAGAAAAAGGGGAATGAAGATGGGAGATGGGGCTAGGAAAGACAGTAGAATGAATTGGATTTAACTTTCCTATGTTCATATATGATTACACAACCAGTGAAACTCCACATCATGTACAACTGCAAGAATGGCATCCTAATTAGAGTGTATTATACTCCGTGTATTTATAATATGTCAAAATACACTCTACTCTCATGTGTATCTAAAAAGAAAAAATTTTTTAAAATTAAAAATTAGGGGTGGGGTTGTGGCTCAGTGGTAGAGCGCTTGCCTAGCATGTGTGAGACACTGGGTTTGATTCTTAGCACTACATATAAATAAATAAAATAAAGTTGCTGTTTTTTAAAAAATAAATAAATATATTGTAAAAGAAAATAGAGATGCTATCCAGGAAATGAGACTTGAAATTGTGGATACTTCAGAGGATTTTTCTAACTCCCATTGTTGCTGGACTGAACTCTGCTTTGTACTGAAATTGTAAATGCCCTCCAGATGTAGTGGGCGCATAGGTATGTCTTCCAAGCTCTCCTTACATATTACCTATGTTTCTCACCTCAGGGTGTGTATTCCTGACCATGTTGCTGCTTCACTTGATTTACTTCAGTTCATTTATTTACCGTGTCATTAAATTCTCAATTGTTATAGTTCTCCTATCTAGTAGGACTATAACCCTTAGAGATGTTTAAATGTCATCTGATTATATTCTATGCATCTCCTAGGATTTTGTTTAATTAATTAGTAATAATGTGAAATACGTGCTAATGTGAAAACAATGAACAATGTTTATTATTTCTATATTGAAGTGATCATCAGTGGAAGACTTAGATAAGCAAAAGGTGGCATCTTCACATGTGTTACTACAATACAGAAATTTAAATGATATGTATCTTAATGTGCCAATGTGACATACTTGGAATAAATCTAGGGAACAGTGCTGAGTGATAAAAGCAAATTTAAGGAAGCTGCCAAAATTTATGTTAATACTATTTAAACAAACATAAAAATAATATTCTTAGTGAAAGCATTTATAATTAGTATAAGTTAAAATATAGACTGGAGTATGGGAGAAAAATGCCTCATTTTTATGTTTGGATGTAAATTGATTAGAACCATCTTTTTCTTTGAGCAGTATGCTCTGCAAGCAGAAATTGAAACTCCCATAGTTTGAACATTTTTAGCAAAGTGTGAGTGTTGGAGGAGTAGTGTTTGTGTGTGTGTGTGTGTGTTTGTGTGTGTGCATGCACACACACACAAATTAATGATTTAAGACTGGTGAGTGAGCTGGGGTTTTGGCTCAGTGGTAGAGTGCTTGCCTTGCACGTGTGAGGCCCTGGGTTTGATTCTCAGCACCACATAAAAAAATAAATAATAAAAATAAAGATATTGTATCCATCTACAACTTAAAAAAAAAGACTGGTGAGCAAAATTTTCTTTTAATAAATGTATCCCATACATTATTAAATGAATACAGTTTCTTGATACAAATGTTTTTTTCATGATTTGGGGCACTGTATTTGAAAGGTTCAGAGTTATATGTATGTGATATTAAATAACAGCAACAAAAACCTATTAATAGGGTATGATGTCACAGCTGAACTCATGCTTGATTGATATACCTTGTCTTCCTTAGTTTTTAGAGAATAACTTTAGCCATAATAGTAATTTGAAGTCTCAAAGTAAGTAATGTCAAAATCATTTCTTGTCAAAATATCTTATCAAGTAACATTATTGTATTTTTTATTAATTTCAACCAAGAGTGTCTCAAAGGTTTAAAGGGCTTATGATTTCATCTATAAGAAAGATATGCAACCAATTTATGTAGGCAGCCTGTGGGAAGTGAGGGATAATGTCACGACCCCTTGCCCGCAAGGAAGACGCAACTCAGGAATCTTCTCTCAGCAGTTTATTCAGGTCCCTTGATATTTCTTATTCTTTCTTCTTCTCTCCTCCCGGATGCCCTCCCAGCCTTAATAAAGCATCCCAAGCCCCAATGCAAAGCTGCCGCGTGGAGCTTTCTCACAGGGTGGTAAAAAATCATGTGCCAACTCTCTCAGATAAGGAGTTGTTTGTCACATACCACAGCGGAGCCAGCGCCATCTCGTAATGGCGACCATAGTCTGCAGAAACGGCAGAAGCGGCTCACCACAGGATAAGGGGAAAACAAGATTGGTTAGGGGATAAAGGGAGATTTAATTGCTATCAGTAAAGTTTCTTTTTTTTTTTTTAACTTAAAAATATCCAAAGCAAAAATGGCATTCGTTGATTTAGGTGGCTATGTGTTTATAAAAGGCAAACTACCAGACAGTACATGCACCAAGAATGCTGTAGAAGTGTTTATTAGGGTAAAAATCATAAAGATCAATAGTAGTTTTGGACCATGTTTATCCCTCTGTGATTGCTGGTCATCCAGCGTGGCCTTGCACAGCAGGACTTGAATTTTTGTGTTCTGGATATTTTAAGTGACATAATGTCTGACATTCTGGCCCTTCCTGAATGAGTCCTGTCCTACCTGCTCCGGGTTTATGGTTAGGGATAACATCAGCCTAGTTTTCATATTTTTTCATATTTTTCAAAAGAATAAACAAAAATGGACAACAAATATATGAAAAGTGTTCAACTTCTCTAGCAATCAGGTAAATGCAAATAAAAACTGCCTTAGTCACTGAGGATAAACATTGAACAAATTAGAGAAGTGATCTATTTTCATTTTCCTAAGTGAGAGACTGAAGTAGAAAGTTTGAAAAACAAATTAAGGTTAGAATTAACAGGACTGGGCAACTAATTTGGTACGTTAGGGCTTGAAGGATGGGAAAGTGACAAAGATGGTATAATGTATGCCATGCATATATAGTTTATCAAAACTTACATAATATTATCTAAAGTGTTTACAACTTTTTAAGGTTTACAAAACCTTTCCCCATAAATTAGCTATTCAGCTCTCACAACAATCTTTAGAAGTAGATGTTGATTTTCTCAAGATTACATTTATCAGACAATAGAGAAAACTAGTCTTCTGCTTCTTTTCCTTACATATTCTATTGTCTTTCTTTAAAAAAAAAAAACCCTTTGGTTTTCATCCTTTTATATATGATAATTTTGTCATTTTTTAGTACAAAGATGTAAGTATCATTAAATAAAAATACAGAACCACATGGAAATTGAGAGGTGCTTCTCACTAAATGAAGCATTGACAGATCATGAAAGAACTGAAGATATCATTAAGTTTTACGGGTATTTTACAAATCAGAAAGCTCAGGTTTAAGCATTAAGGTTAACTAAGAGCTACTAAAATTTTTCTCTATTGAATCCTTATAAAATTATTTGTCGTATTTCATTAAAAGAATCTTTCATAGGAAAGAACTAGTTTATACTAGGAAGTACCTGTCACTGTTTAAAGTTAACCATATTTGTTCCCATTTTCATTCTTATTGGATGCCTTTTACATGTGCATCACTGAGTTATAAACTTTAAATGGTATTTTAAAGATTACTTTATGTTTTAAGTTGCATTTTATTGCATTTCAATTGTGTGACTTTTTTTTTTTTTTTTCTTTTCAGGGAGATGCAATAAACGCTTTGCTTGGACCCAAGTCAAACTAACCAGGATAATTCATCATTTATAATATTTTGTTGTTGTTGTTTAAAGAAAAAGGAACAGTGTTCAGTATTTAATAGTTTGTATAAGTAGGCTGTAAGCTAGGATTTTGATTATAGAAAACAACACTTGATATATAACTTCCATTTAAATGTAATGAACTTTTCAGAAATATAAGATTACTTTGTTATGAAAGTAAAAGTTCTAAGAATTTTGTTGAAATCTTAAGGTATTTATACTTAGTCATATGAATATATATATTACATATTATATTACATATATATATGCTATACTCATATATCCTGTATACTCATATATATACTGTATATACACCCACACTTATAAAATGACCAAATGCATTAGAAAATTATTTCTTTAGAAGCCAAATTTGGAAATTATTATTTTTTTAGGAAATAAAACTGTCTTTATTCATAGAAGATGCAAATCTTGTACACAGAAAATTTAAGGAATTCAGTGACAAACCTACTAGAATAAGCAAGGTTAACAAGTTCACAGGATATAAGAGCAAAATTATTAGAATTACTTAAACCAAATCTTTATAATACAAAATTCCATCAATTTTTAATCTGTTCTTTAAGCTTTGTTTTCCAAGATTTATAATTACATAGTTTTTAGTATAATGAGAGCAGTGTATTCTCATATCCAATTTGTAACCTTAAATTTTATCCTCGTTGATCTGAGAGATGCAGCTATAGAACTTTATTAGACTGTCTGACAAACATAACAGCAAATATCAGAATTGTATTGTTTGGCCAGCAGGCACCACTCTCCCAATTCAGTGAGAAAAGTTAATGTGGAACAAACTAGGACATCTTCCTCTGAATCTGCTCTGGACTTTAAGCTCGGACTTTAGTGGACTCAGCAAGAAAATAGAAAGTCTCTGATGTATAGATCACACTAGAGACAGGTTGTGGAAATAGGGGGATGATTCCTCCAAATATAGATCGCAAAGAGGTGGCTCCATGTGATTTAACAAGTCCTGGGTTTGTTAACTGTGTCCTGTGGCCTGTTCTTGTAAGTGGACAGGAGAGCATGTGTACTAAGCTCTCTAGGGAAAAATATATACACACATATATATAAACAGAATTAAATTAGTGCAACAATGGGAACTACCTTTTTCAAGTGTCCATTGCTTCACAGTCTCCATTTCTTTGGAGCTATCTTTTAAACAAAAGCAAGGGAATTTTCAGGTAGATTTGAGAGTTTAGGTCAGGTTATAAGGATTACAAATTTTCTACTGATATAAGTGAATAAGATTATCTTTGTCTTTCTAGAAGATTGAACTTTCTATAACAATTTGTGTAAGAAAATAAAAATTTGATTTAAAAATATGCTCCTTTTTATTATATATTTATTTATCTTTTAAAAATGTACATATTTTAGGTTCCTCAAACCTAAATGAGAAAGCTGTTCTGTTCAGATTCTGGACAACTGATCTTAAAGCACTGAACCTACTCTACTCCACCCTTCCCATCCCTGCACTGACAGTCTTAAATGATTCACCCATACTTGTAGATTAGCATCAATTTTTTAATTTTACCTTTTACCTGGGAATTTCAGAAGGAGTCATTCGCTTGCTTTCTTAGCTAGCTTTGAATCCTTGTAGTAAACTAATTACCATATATATTTTTTTAAATATTTATTTTTTAGTTATAGGTGGACACAAGATCTTTATTTTATTTTTATGTGCTGCTGAGGATTGAACCCGGTGCCTCATGCATGCTAGGCGAGTGCTCTACTTCTGGTCCACACTCCCAGCCCCTACCATATGTTTTTAAGAATTGAATGAAAATTCTGCTTAGCCATTAGCCATCTCATGTTATCCTTAAACACACACACACACACACACACACACACACACCACATCAGTGTGCTGGTTAGAAGTGGTGACTGTGCCAGGTGTTCATTACTTCATTTGGTCACTTCCTATCAGGCATCTTTCATACACAACTTACATTATTGTTTTCTGAGAGTATATTGTTAGCTACTCTTCCAGCTGAGATAGGAAAGGAAGATTATACTCATTACTTAAATAATTGTATCATATTTAGTGCATTGATTTGGCTCATCTCTATGGAATAATATACAATTATAAATGATAAATTAGAATGCTTAATATTTATTATTTTGTCACAAGAGTCTCTCTACAAGAAAATGTTGAATCTTACTGTGACTAGATTGAGTTATCAATATAGTAGTAATAATGCATATTCACATTTTTTACAGTTTGCAGAACACTTTCACATTCATTATCCCATGTATCCTCAGATAATTCTATGGGACAAGACTGGCAAGTAATTATAATATCATCATAGCATCTGTTTTCCAAATTTTATAATTAAGGCTTGGAGAGGTACTATAACATGCCAAAGACCATTCTACTGGTAATTGGTCAAGCTTGAACACAAGCACAAAGCTTTGAACAATTTTTACATACTTTCTACTACTGTATAGTAAATGGTTAATGTCCATATAATTTGCTGAAATGTACCCAAAAATTTAGGCATGAATATTTTTCTGCAATTAAGGTTTTATCCAAAGAGGATAATGCTTGTAAACTTGATATTTCTCAGCATTCACCTGCCATTCGGCCTCAACACATATGTATTGTTCTGTTGTACAGCCAGCTCCCAACTCATCTCTCTCCTTCAGCATATTAACTCTTTACTCACCCTCAGATCTCTCTTAATATCTCAACTTGTAAGGAACATTGTTTCTGAGCTCCATCCCATAAGACTAGCCAGACTATATTTGGTCCTTTCATTAAATGTTTTCAAGCCTCCATGGATTTCCCACATAGCACCATTTCAGAAATTATGGTTGAGGGACAATATCTAGAAATATTTCAATCCTTATTTTTTCCTCATTATCTTTCTCCTCTCAAATGACCAGTTCTGTGCTTATGAGTTTAAGGAGACATGTAAAATGACAATAAATCAAAGACATCCATTTTGTTCTATAAAAGCATAGAACTTAGGGAAGGTATTTGGGACATAGACCCAAGTGTCTTAAACATAAAAAGAAATACAATGTTTCCTCAGGGATGGGAAAGGTGGGGGAATACATAAAAGAGGGAGCCTGGGGAGCCACAGAACATAGGAAACCCATGTCTAAAAAACATGTTGCTAAAAAGTATTGTACAGAAAGTAGCAACCTAGGAGGGACCACAGTCACCTTTGAAAACTATTCCCTGTGCAACAAGTGATGTGCAGAAGCAACCACGAGCCACTAGAACTGAAGAAGCCAAACACTGAAGAAGCAGCATCTCTGATACTAGAAATTCCTTGGCGCAGAGTAAGATGGAAGGAAACCAAGCCTGAGTTGGACTGACATTAACTTGCTTTGCATGAGGTTTATTTCTGCCAGCGGAGTGGAATGGAAATTTGGAATGAGAAAATTATTGAGTTCTGGAAAATGTAGATATGTTTCTTGGATGACTGAATTGCTAAACTGAGATTCATACCTGGTATGCTAAATGTCTATTTGTAAATCGTTTGCTTAATATCCACTTTCCTCCTAGACTTAAGTTCCTGAAGGGTTAGGGTCTATGTGTTTTGCTTACCATACTGTGTCTAGCATCTAGAACAGTTATCTCTACAGAGTAGGAATGCAACAAATATTCGTTGAAGGAATGATTTATCAAAGTAGTGGCAAAACTATGGTTTCATGCTTGTTCTATATCACTACATCATTTAATATCTTAAACATAATTTCCTCAAAATACTAAAAAAATATTTTAACATCAGAGAAGATAAAAAACATTTTAACCGTGGAATATATAGAGAATATAAATCAGTCTGGAAAGTAGATAAATATAGTCAGCTTTTTTGATCTATAACAATGTAAAATTATTTATTTTCCTTTAAGACAAAGGCTTAAAAACAAATCTGTGATCCTTGTCTTTTTGCAAATACTAGCATTATCTTGTGAGGTTGTGTTCCTGCCATCCATTTTGGGAACAATGTTTCTCCAAGATAAACCACCAGCAAAATGCCAGCATTGTACATAGTACATAATACCCAGATCCACATCCCCAGGTCCTGGTCTTTGAAGAACCTCTTTGCCCTTCATGATTGGCTGCGGTTGCCCTCTCCTTCCCCAGGAGGTACAGATTGTGCTGATGAGCTCATTTCCTCCTTCATGTAACATTTAGGTTTTGTGTCTTTGTTTGTTCAGAATTCTGTTCAATACTCAAATCTATCTCCCAACCCATAGAACATTTACTAGGCTATTTGCCTTCATTTCCTTGGGTTGGCATACTTATTTGATGATAAAACTAAAAGGCTGTTAATTTACATGACACTAATTTCTGAATTAAACAGAAAATGAAACATGTCCACTAAGGTGGAACACATAAAACATTGTTATGGATCTTATAAAAATGGGCATTGCTTTTCTAAAAACTCACAAGACATTTAAGTAGCATTCAGAATAACTCATCAAAAATATACTTTTATCATATATGTATTCTCTTTGAATAAGTCACCTATTAAAAGATATGGAATCATTATTCCAGGAAGAACAGGATATTTGAGGGATCTTACATCAGAACTCACTGATTTTTTTTGAAATTTTCAAATTATTGCACATATTTTGATTATTTATTAGGTGTGTGATCCTGGGGATTGAACTCCGTGGCATTCTCCATCTGCCCCCCATGTTTTGTGTGTGTGTGTGTGTGTGTGTGTGTGTGTGTGTGTGTGTTTGAGTCTGACTTCAAACTTGCAACCCTCTTGCCTCAACCTCCGGAATAACTGGGATTACAGGCATGCATTAGCACATCTGGCTTGAGTTTTTATTTCTAGAAGTGCAAAATGACAACAATAAAAGCATAAAAGGAAAATAGATGCTCTGTTCATACAAAATAAAGCTTTAAGTAACAAGTTTTTTCAAGATATATTTTAACATTACACATTTGTTATCCATTCTTTCATCAAGAAACGTAGAAGTGGATTCTGTATCTTGAATATAATGAATAATGCTGGAAGGAACATGGGAGTGAGGATATCTTCATTTCCTTTAGATACATAGCCAAAAGTGGAACATCAAGACCACATGGGAGTTCTATTTTTAAGTTTTGTAGGAATCTATTTCATT